TAAGACCTTCAGCCAGGATGTTTTCACATGTCTCTCAAATGAGAAAAGTTTCTCATTTAAATCTTAAAATTGAATTTTTTGAAAACTAAGGAAATTTTCTTACCTAGTAAACTATTCCCAAATTTGGTAAGTCCTTCAGGCCATTAGTAAGTCTTTCAAGTTTGATGCTTAAATCCTTTAGGTCATCTATAATCCTTTCGAGCAACATGATAAGTCATTTGGGCCATCCACAAGTCCTTCGGGTAGGATGTTTTTACATGATTTTCCAAAACAAAAATGAGAAAACAATTTCCAAAGTTTTTTTTATTTTTTATTTCCCTAAAATTGATTTTTTTAGAAAAGTAACCAATTCAAAGTCCTAGAAAGGAAGAGGTTCAAATGACACTCAAGTCGAGGCAGGTTCTCATATTTGGTAGCTGCGAGAAAAGTTCCCACAAGAAAAATTAGTTTTCAAAGATTATCTTGAAATCTCAAGACTTTCAAGTATGATTGTTTTCAAATTCTCAAACATGTACTAACAAGTGGTAAAGTTTAATTTTTATATTTGATATCCTCGAAGACAAGAGAAGCGAATTAAACTCGATTAAATTTTCCTGAAGAATAGTAGAATGAATCAACATACCCATAACTGATTTTTCCCTTAAGAAGAAACGAAATATATCCCTCTTTTCAAGATTTGATATTCCCTGAGTAACAGTGGAACAAGTCTACATCGATTCAATCTTCCCTGAAGAACAGTGGAATGAATCAACATCCCTAGATCTGATTTTTCCTCAAGAAGAAGCGAAATAGATCCCTCTTTTCAAGGTTTGATATTCCTTGAGTAACACTTGACAAGTCTACCTTGATTCAATCTTCCCTAAAGAAAAGTGGAGTTAATCAAAGTCCCTAGATCTAATTTTCCCTCAATAAGAAGCAGAACATATCCGTCTCTTTTAAGATTTGATATTCCCTGAGTGATAGTGGAACAGACTACCTTGATCCAATCTTCCCTGAGGAACAGTAGAATCAGTCAACGTTTCTCGATCTAATCTACCCTGGAGAAACAGTGGAACAAATCTCTCAAGAGACTTTAGAGCATAGATTGGATCGAACTAAAACTCATTGTCTCTTTGACTTTTCCCTATTCTTGTTAACATAAGAATGTATAAAGAGGGGCAACTATAGACACCCGTTTTTGTGTGGGTCATAATTTATTATTATTATATTATCATTATTATTACTATTTATTAATATTAATATTATTATTTTATTTTCTGGGTACAAATTTCCCAACTTGCAACCAAACCAGGCCTAGATTACAAATTAAGACCCTAAGTCCCAACCGAATCAACCAAGGCCCAAACGTTCCAAACCTTCAACCCGTGAGCCCAGTCTATTAAAAAACCCTAGTTGCACCAAGCCTCCACCACCTCTCAATTTAAAGCATTAGATTTGGACCCATCAAACAGTATAGATCTGAATCAACTAGAGTTTTACCCTAAAGTGCTTTAATCACCACACGCTCCCTGTATGAAATGCACGCGCTCGTGCTTCTCCACTGCTTGAGGACTGCCACCGTCGCCAGATTTCATGTCGGCCACCAAAAGAAGACAAAGAGCCTCGGGTCAACCCCTAGTTTAACCCACGTCATACCTGCAGAATATCATCCTCGTCAGATTTCACTCTTTTCGGTCAACACCCCTGTCAGGAGAATGAAAAAGAAAGTAAAATAAAATAGAGGGTTCAAACCCTTACAAAAAACGTAACATTAAAAGTGGAAAAAAAAAGAAAAAGGAAAAATCATCCCTCTTTTAGGTGATATAAACAACACATCAACAACACCAAGAACATATCATCAACAAGAGAGCAAGAACCATAAAAAAGGAAAATTAGAGAACAAAAAAACCAAAAGCTTTCGAGTAAAAAAAAGTAGGGAAAATCGAGAAAAAAGAAATGGAGAAGGGACCAAGAAGAAGAAGCTTACCTCGCGGTCCCCGAAGCCTTCAAGCATCGTCAGAGAGCTGTTTGTTCGAAGGTATATCCCTAGATCTAGGGCGTTTGGAGGGTATTTAGGCTTAGGGTTTTTTATATTTAGGTTTAGGGTAGAGAGGGGATTATTTTAGATAACTTTTTAGGTCACCAGACACCGTGTACGGCAGCAAAGCACTCTTGAGAGTGGTGGCCAGAGGATGTCGACCTCCCAATGCGAGGGAGGGAAGACAGAAGCCAGAGAAAAAAAGGTTTTCTCTCCTTTTAGAGAGAGAAAGCAAAATGAAAAATGAGGATTGGCAATTTTTGACTAATTTTTGGGTATTTATACCTACCCCGAGATGACGTCGTTTTAGGGGAAGGGTTTATGCATTTTGGGGATATGAGAAAATCATTCTTGCATCCCTTGTGTATTGTAATCTTACAATTTGGTCACTGAAATGAATGTTCATTTATTTTAATTTAGATCTAAATTTTAATTTCATTTTTATTTTAGTCATTGTCCATGTTTGTACGTGTTTTGGGTAAATATTTGATTCAGTCCCTATATTTTATTGATGTCCATTTTAATCTTGAATTTTAGGTTGTGGTTAAATTACGATTCTAGTACCTAGCTTGTGTGATGTTCTTGTTTATGGCCATGTTATTGCTTGTTTTACTGTTTAATCCTCAAATATTAATAACTTTTTTATTTCAAGTTATGAATAGTGATTATTGGTTTATTTACGATTCTGATGCCTAATCTATACAATATTTGCAATGGTTACCCTAGTCTTGTTGGTTTTGTAGTTTGGTATTTAAAGTTTCTATTTTTCAGTCATACCTTAATGTGGTCTATTCTACTTGTGTTGTGTTGTGCTTTAACCTCTCTTTTTTGTTGCATGTTATTAGGTAGCGATTAAATGTGCATCGGTTCGATCAATATATGTATATTAGTATTTTTAAAAAATATATGTATGTTAAATATTATTTTGTACAAATAATTTATAGAAACGAGTCTTAGCTTACAAGGAGTGTGTTTCCAAGAAATGTTTGAACAAAATAATACCTTTTATTTTTGAATGAACACTTTAAAATTTAACATGTGTATTTTATCTATGAGCTAAGACAATATTATTTTGTATGGAGATCTATGGAAATGTGCCTTAGCTGACAAGGGTCATTTCCCTATGATTTTTCATACAAAGTAATAATTTTTATGCTATAGTTGTTTTAAAAATTATTATGTATATATGATTTATATAAATTAGGGTAATATTATTTCGTATGTTGAATCCATGGAAATTCCCCCTTAACTACAAGGAATGTATTTTCGAGAATTGTTCGTACAAAATAATACTCCTTTTATTTTTTTTAAAAGGATTACAATTTAAATGTATATTCAAGATTTTCAATTTCAACATTTAGATGACGTATAATTGCTTTGGTACCGATTTTGGGCATTACAGGGTGTTAATTCTTCCCCACACATATTCGACTCCCTAACCCTTTTCAAAATGAGTTTCTGGTTAAACGCATACCACTTTTTATCTTTTAAAATTAGTTTTCTTAAAATTATTTTAAAGGATATTTTTTGGTATTTGACCTACCTAACCCAAAGGTCGATGACGACTCCAAATTTGTTTATTTGTACATTTATTTTAAAACCCAACTTTTCCACTGTCAACTTTAAATTACATTCAACTATTTGGGACGTTAAGCTCTCAGAAGCAAATTCAAGTACGAAAAACACTCCCTGTGTGGTATATATATGCACCTACAATCATGATATGCAGATCAATAGAATTGCATATCAAAGTTAACAACTAAGAAAATCTTTAGTCTGTAATTTCGTGGATCCACTAAAACAACCAAAAGCAAATAGAAACCTAAACAAGTCAATATCTAGGGTATGTATATACAATTCAAACAATAAAAACAATATTGGAGAACATCACTAGATAATATAGCTGACATAAAGTGCATAGGAAGAGACCAAATCCCATTAAATCTTACCTCTTTTGTTGTAGCTCCCCATCCGTCTTAGTGTTCAACATCAATTTGATTCTCCTCCGGCTGACCGTCATATTATACATTCATCATGCTCTGATCTTCCATTCAATGGAGCCAAGCTCTGAATATATGCAGTAATGTGCATTGTTTCTTGATAAGCGTGAATACCAAGATTTCTAGCTCTTGTACGGAGGGATCAAATAAAACTAGTTCTAGATCCGAGTTCTCGAGAAACAACTTGCCATTTTTTCAAAACCCAAAGGCCTCTCAACTCCAAGAACAAATTCAACACTGAATTGTTTAGTCCATGAACCATTCATAACCCATAAATCAAAAGACTTTTCAATTCACAAATAAATCCATTGAAGTCCAAAAGGTCCAAATAATATTTTTCTAAACTCCCACCAAATTCAGGCAGTGGTGAAGTTAAAAATTTTTCATTAACCATATCAAACGAAAGAATGAGGTGATCAATTCCTAATGTCTTCCAATAAATAAACCCATTGACATAATTATTAAACAAAGAAAAAGCAAAAAGCATCAACCCCAGTATTTGAAATTTCCTTACAGGAATCGCTTTGAAGTGAATATAACTCAACTTGATCTATCGAATGACTATAAATGCTCATGCCTTCTTCATTTTCCCATGTAAAACAATTAGAAAAAATATTATGGCTTTAAATTCATCAATTTGAGAATCATACCCAAAACCAAGGCGATCAAAACTAGTGTATTCTAATCCATGAGTGCACTGGACTGTGGAGTGAGGAAGGATTTTAAACTCTCTGGTAGATGGGTTCTAAAGGGAAACATTTTGTCCAACTACTGGCTCTGCTAAACACAATATTACATTACAAGGGCCATTAACTAAAGGTGGATGCATAAAATTTGAAAAAGGGTAAGTGAATATTGTGTTTTACTCTAAAGTTTTGGTCTTTCTCGGTCGAAAGTTGAGAGAAATAATGGATGTCATCACAGATGTCACCATGACAACGTTTGAGGAAGAGATTAAGGTTATTATTTTTTAGATTGTTCAGATGATGTTTTGTAATGAAATGAGGGGTTTCAAAAGATGAAGACCAGGGCTTACAAACGCACCTGAAACGGGTCAAGGATTTAACAGGAAGCTTTGAGAGAATCTCCAACACCAACATCTCTACTAATTCGGTTCTAGTTTTGATCAACCCTTGCATCTTCCCTCTTTATCTTCTATATTTCCTTTGTGTTTTTCAATATATGATTTTGTTTGGGGAAAGACGATGAGAACTAATATAAAAGAAAACGAAGATAAACAAAACTTATAATAGGTAACATCAAACATTTTTCTGTAACAAGAAAACTACAATGGAAACTGATCATTGGTTACACTACTTTGATAGGCCTCATCGAGCCCTTTTAAAACCCATTAGCTTATCATAGACAGGGTTTGCACAATATTGACTATATACAATATAATAGTATTTTAAAATATTTAATGTAATGTATTTAATAGTAATATATCAATAATTATTTATTATATTTTAAATTATTAAAATAATAAATTTTATAATAATTTGTTACATTTTTTACTATTAAAGAATATATTTTAACATTATAAAAATAAAAAACCTCTAAAACATTAAATATATAATAAATATAAATGAGAAAATTAAAAATTTATATATGGTCAGGTTGGATCATTGATTTTTTACCTGAAATATAGTCTCGCCCCAACTCGAAGTTATCTATTACATAACTCGTCATGCCCCGAACTCGAAATTAAAAAAAAAGTTTTTTTTCTTAACAAGAAAATAATCATAGGTGACACTACATTGATGTGCCTGGCCGAACCTTTGGTAACTTCAAAAATTCATGAGTTTAATATAGGTAGGGTCAGCACAATATCATTTCGTAAACCATTGAAATATCAAATATTATTATGAATTTTATTAAGGGTAAATTATACTAGTGATATCTTACATTTTTTATCCGTTTAGTTTTTGTCAACAGTTTAAAAAGTTTTGGTTTTGGTCACTTTTATCTTTGGTCTTTATTGTTAGTAAAAATAGTTAAATTTTAATTTGACCTCTGAATTTTGGAAAAACAAATAAATTTTACCTTAAAATTTACATAAAATAGCAATCTAACTCTTAAACTTTTATATAAAATATGAATTGAGCCCTAAATTCAGTCAAAGTTACCGTCTCTACTCGCCACTCATCGTCGTCATTGCCTACCGTCAGTTTTCATCTCCAATCATCGTCGTTGGTTGTCATGTCAACATGTGATACCATGTAAGCTTGATACCTCATCTTTATACGTTGACTATTTTTTGACTAATGATTTTCATCCACATAGGAACTCTTTTTTCCCAAATGAAATGTTAGAGGTTAAAGTGATTGTTTATATATAGATAGGGTCCAAATACACAATGTCATATTTGTTAGGTTTACAGAGATTTAGTAATTTTAGATGAGTGAAAATAGAAGACTGAGATTAACAATAGAAGTGAGAATATATTCAATAAAAAAATAAAGAATTAACCTCATTCACCTATCTTTACTCATCCAATAGTCCTAAATCTCTATATAACAAAAAACATTTTACACTATATAAATGGATCATAATATATATATACTTCAAACCCTAAATTATGATTTCAAGATTAATCGGGATATAGAAGGATAACTAAATTATCACAAATTCAATAATCTACAACCTCTAGCCTCATGCTTTTTTTCTTTTCTTTTCAAAATCCCTTTAGCTTAATATTGAAATCAATAACAATACTAGTCAACAATTTAATTCTCAATCCTAGTCAACAAATTAATAAAACAACACCAATCATCACCAATTTCAGTTTAAGATTCATATTAGATGTGACAATCATGCATATTTGAGTGAGTTCAAATTTTATTTTATTAGAATTAAATAAGTATGTAAATGAACTAAATGAACATGAACAAAAATATGTTCATGTTTGTTCGTTTAAATTTAACTGAACATGAACAACTAAATAAATATTTTTTTTATTAAATCTCATATTCAAATTTGATATGACCTATTAACATTTATGAATGATAAATTTTATTAAATCTATAAATGTATCTATAAGACAAAAGCCCATTATTGCATCATTTACCTCTTTCCAAACCTTTTATGGTCATGTTGATCCACGTGAATTGATTTGTCACCAAGATCCACGTATTTTCATATATGTTCTGTTAATGTTCAAGTTGATGACTAGGTTATGTAAGGACTTAATTGAAACGATGTTAGTACTTTGAGAAGTAAATTAGAAGATTTAAAATATGGGGACTAATTCAAAATATGATACATAATTTAGGGATGTCTAATACAAATAACATAAGTATTAATTTTAATATCTCTGCTCATCCTCAGTTTCTAACATTGAGGTTTTGTAATGATCTCTATTTTTTTACATTTATAATCGAGAGTTCCTGATTTAGGTTATTTTTATATAATCATTAATGTAATAAATTTTACTTTCATTTTATAGAGTCTAAATTAAATATTTTATTTAATCAAAACAATATTTTATTCAAATATTTATTTAATTATCGTCTAATTTGATAAGATAAATTTATTATAAAAGCTTTGATTATTTTTAGAAAATACTTTATAAAAGTAGGTCTCCTAGTTTCGGGCTGAGTAAGATTAAATTAACATAAGTAAGTATATGTCATTATCAACATTATTTTTCATTTACTTCCTATTCATTGAGGTTAATGTTTTTTTCATTTGTGCATGTTGATGAAGATACTCGACGAAAATTAGATAAAACTATCAAGGAATGGGTTTAATTTAATTCTATATATTATTTTATTATTTATTATTTTTATAATTTAAACACTTTTATATTTCTAAAGTTAATTTTATTATTAATTACAAACATCATAACTTTGAAGGTTTACTGCAGCCTTTATTCAAAGTTTTTATATTGGAAAAACTACAAAATCTGTTAGCAATTTGCAGGGCCTGTAGTTTTACCATTTTTAAATGGCAATTTATGTGGACAATTTTGAGTCTTCGTAATCATTTGGGAAGACGAAGTCGATCGAGCGTAACACAAACGAATCTCCCATAATTGCAGTCCTCTAGTTTTGTTTCTGTTACAAGCACTTTCAGGTGCAGCTTTTATAAGGGCCTGAATTATTTTTATAACATATTGAAACATATAAATGTTTCCTGGTGTAAGTCCCATTGCTAAATCAAAGTAAGTTAGAAACTATGTTAGGAAGATGAATTATCAACTATTTAATCTTAAAAATTGTTGTATATATATATAATAATAATAATAATATGATAATGAAACCCATAGATATTACATCATTCCAACTTTTCAACCATCTTATGCATAAACGCATTAACAGAATATATAAAAGCAAGTACAAAGGAAACATACTCACCTGGATTTTTTAAGCCTTGTCTAAGCGTTAAGGAAGATTTGAAGTAATATAGTAATCAGAACATGTTCCATGATTTAACCATTCACGCTTCCAAAAGCCAGTACCTGGTTGAGTAGGGTTCTTCAAGTCCAGCCATAATGATATTAAGTTGCTTTCAATTGGAGTAAATGTAGTTTTCTAAATTAGAGAAATTTACATTAGATCATATATATAAATTTAATTATAAAAAGTAAATTAAAAAAGTTGATGAGATGCTTACTTGAAGAACTGCTACGGAAGTAATGGGTGCCATGGAGTAACAAGGATTAGTGGATGCGTTGTTAGGAGGAATGGGAACATCGTTGGCATCTTGAGGCCATATACCATGGATGGTTAACACAGTCGAGATGGGAGTACCACAAGCCATGCTTCCGGAATTACACACAACAAGATGCCATTGGAGACTGAGTTTATAAAAATGTATGGGGGGTTGAGCTGTAACTAGAACTAAGAATCAAATCACCAAAACAACCACCAACTTATAATTCAACAACATTGTTACAATCAATACTCTCACAATCAACATTCACTATGTGTATAATATTTACAATGGTCAGTTCCTTTTTATATTTCAAATGTAGCATCAAACTTGTATCAGTTTCAGTTTCTATTTCAGTGTGTTATATTGAAAATGTTGCATCAAACGTGTTTATGTTTCTGTTTCTGTTTTAAGTGGGATACACCTGTGTTTCATTTTATTCAGTCTGTTTGTAGTGATGGCATACACATGGTTTTCAGTTCGGAAGTTAGGCAGTAATAATTTCTAGCCTTTAAAACCCAAACATCACATGAAATTTAATAAAATATAAGATTTGATTATCAAATGTTCTGCAGTTTGGCAGCAGCTGTGATTTGTTTCTGTGTTGGACCGTCAGCGCACCCCACGGCACAACGGAAACAAAATTCGACAGTCTTACCAGCGATCCAAGTATGTAAAACCGAAATCGGGAGGAAATGATACAAATACTTATAATGGGTTCCTTTAAAAATAGCAAAGACAGCAGCGGGAAATGGTGATCACAAACGGTTCGAATCGTAAGCCTCCACGAAAACACGTCTCGGCCTCTACTTAGTTCACTCGATTGAGAGCAAAATTTTCTTTTCCCAAAAATGGTTTTAAGAAAAACGGCTGAAGTAAAAAAAGGTTGCTAGACCTTACCTCCTTAAATATATCAATTACCCTAACATCTTAGGGTTTTTAAAGTTGTTTCGAATTAATAAATAAAATATTATTTAATTAATTCATATTAAATATACATTAAAGACTTATAATCATAATTACAATCTTTAATGTTTATTTAAAAACTTATTTAATTATTCCGAATTATATATATCAATTAAAAGAGTTGTAATCTAAATTACATTCTTTTAATGCTTACTTACTATATTCGGGATAATTAAATTCATATGTATATGAAATATACATATCTTAACTCTAGATATATTTTAGTAACGTACAACAAATTATACATCTTTGCTCATTTCAATCCTAAGATGTGACCCTGTACGTTCTTGTAACGTTAGTAGTAATTATTAGAACAATTCTAATCTTACATACAATGAGTAACATCTAGCAATATATCATTGTCACCTAAGTTACAAGAAATTATGATTCGACATATCATCTTTGTGATTAACTCTTTTATGTATTACATACTTTTGTCCTTTATATATAAAATAGGCACAAGTTTTAGAATAGTCACACTTGTA